TTTTCCCCTCTTCCCCCCACTACCCCCATCAACCCTCAGTTTGTTCTCTGTTTTTAAGAGTCTCTTGTGGTTTGCCTCCCTCCCTCTCTGTAACAATCCCCTCCCCCATGGACTTCTGTTAAGTTTCTCAAGATACGAGTGAAAACATGATATCTGTCTTTTCACTGAGAATAATACCCTCCAGTTCCATCCACGTTGCTGCAGATGGCCAGATTTCATTCTTTCTCATTGCCAAGTATTATTCCATTGTATATATAAACCACATCTTTATCCATTCATCAGTTGATGGACATTTAGGCTCTTTCGATAATTTGGCTGTTGTTGAAAGTGCTGCTATAAACATTGGGATACGTGTGCCCCTATGAATCAGCAGCACTCTTGTATCCCTTGAATAAATTCCTAGTAGTGCTATTGCTGCGTCGTAGGGTAGTTCTATTTTTAATTCTTTGAGGAACCTCCATACTGTTTTCCAGAGTGGCTGCACCAGTGTGCATTGCCACCAACAGTGTAAGAGGGTTCCTGTTTCTCCACATTTTCGCCAGCATCTGTAGTTTTCTGAGTTGTTAATTTTAGCCGCTCTGACCGGTGTGAGGTGGTATCTCAGTGTGGTTTTGATTTTTTTTCCCTGTTGATGAGTGATGTTGAGCATCTTTTCAAGCATGATAATTTTAGAACATTTCTTTCTGGTCTTTAAATAGTTGCATTTTAGTGTTTTCCTCTTAATAGCATGTTATCATAAACTATCTTTGTTGTTTTGGAGCCTCCCTGCCCAGCATCTCCAGTAGTGTAAAAGTCCACCGCATCAATTTGGCTTGATTTATTTTAACTTTTCTACTGTGGCCATTTAGACCATTCCCATGTTATTGCTCTTTTAAATGCAGTTGAACATCCGAAGGCATAAATATTTTGAATTACTCTTCTTAGAAAAATTGTGATGGCTTAAGCAAGACCTTCATGTTTAAGGAGTTAAATTTCAGCATTGGTTGGTGTGTGTAGCACCCCAAATCAATATTTACTGTTGTGGAATAACCTCCAAGTCATATTGTTAAGTGAAAAAACTACGATGCAGGACAATGTGCATTGGATAAAGAAAGGGACATAAGTTATGGGCATGCTTTAAATGTAAATACATAGACCGTTTCTGGGACAGTACAGAAGAAGCCAGCTCGGAGCCATTGCCTCTCAGGAGGAGAACTGGGGCGGGACAGGGAGAGAAGAAGCCTAGCTTTTCACTAATTTATCCTCTTGTACTGTTCGGCTTTTTGGTTACGTACATGTTTTACCAATTTCTTTTTTATTTGTTTTTATTTTACCAATTTCAAATAAACTATAATTTTTAAATTTTGGTATAGTTATCCATTGGTACAATGAATTTATGGCTACCTTTCACCCAGATTCTTTAGATGTTAGCATTTTTTTAATTAAATTTTTAAAAATGTTGTATTATTTATTTTTGAGAGAGAGAGAGAGACAGACAGAGTGTGAGCAGGGGAGGAGAAGAGAGAGAGACACACAGAATCCAAAGCAGGCCCCAGGCTCTGAGCTGTCAGCACAGAGCCCAACACGGGGCTCGAACCCACAAGCTGTGAGATCATGACCCGAGCCAAAGTCAGACGCTCAACCGACTGAGCCACCCAGGCGCCCTAGATGTTAACATTTTTTAAATAGTTTTTTTTTTACAATACTCCCCCCCCCCCCAATTTTTTTTTTTTTTTAAGGAAGAGGTTATGCCCAGTTTACACATGAAGAAGTATACACTCAGGCTAAACAGATTGCCCTCTATACATAGAGCATGTTCGTAGTGGCAGCACTGTGCCCAATGTAGGTCCTCCAACAAACTCAGCTCCTGTTATTACACTGCTGGTTTATACCCAGTCCGGTTTTGGGGTAACTTGACAGCTTCCTCAATTAAAATAGTTACTAAAATAACTTCTGTTTTCTGACATTCATTTTCACCTTAGTCTGGATTTCTGAAAATTCTCAGTAACCAGTGGCTTTGTCAGAACAGTAAACAAAGATGTAAATGGCCTGGTCTGACATCTCACTTGTGACCTGGTTCTTTTACCAGGCAGGCTCCTGGCCTTCTCCTGCCACCAGAGGTTGTTGATAATAATTAATAAGCACAGTTCCTGCATCACCCTTGCTTCCTTCTGAGGTAAAAGGAAAGAGGACTTAAAAAATTGTTTTTTGAAAACTTGAGTTAAAATGGTGTTATAAAATTGTACAATCTCTATTCCACTAGGGGGCACCATTTCCTTGCATTTTTTGCTGGCTAAGGTTGGAAATAGTCCACTTGTGTGTCATTGTCCTAAAACTCGAAATAACTGTATTATAATTACAATAGCAACGTGTAGCCAATATAGAGCAGTTAGAAAATACTTACAGGTAAAAAGAATAAAAAATTAGAATCCCTTCTCAGATTGAAATTACTGCTACTGATTTCATAGATTACAGCTACCGGTATAGATTCCAAAGCTACCAGTGTTTTTCCTTCCAGATGTTTTTTTCTAATGGATCTACAAACTTAGAAAAAATAGATTTATTTATTTATCAGCGTATAACATGATGTAGAGGAGTACTCAAGTCTTAAGTGTACAATTTGATGAATTTTCACAAAATGAATACAGCCAGGTGACCACCATTTAGAGAATAAGACATTCGTGCAGCGTCTTTAGATGGACCCCTCTTGCCTTCTCACAGTAACTACCTCCTCCAAAGGTAGCCACCATCCTGGCTCCTGACATGAAAGAATAGCCTCACTCATTTTTGGACTATATAAAAGGAGTCATACGACATATGTCCTTGTGTCTGGCTTTTTTGGTGCAACATTATGTTAGTAAGATTTATGCCTCTTGTTGTGGGTTGTAATCTTTCATTTTAGTTGGTGTATTTTGTTATATGAACTTGTCACAATCCTATATGCCAGGGGTCAGCAAACTTTCTGTAAAGGGCTGGATAGGAAATATTTTAGGCATTGTGGACCATTCTGTCTCTGTTGCAACTATTCACCTCTGCGTTTGTGGCTCAGAAGCAGCTGTGGATAATATGTAAATGAATGGGCATGACTGTGTTCCAATAAAACTTTATTTACTAAAAATAGATACCAGGCTGGAATTGGCAGTAGTTGCCAACAACTGCTATACTTTTTTTTTTTTTTTTAACTTCATTTATTTATTTTGGGAGAGAGTGCAAGTGGGGGAGAGGCAGAGAGAGAGGGAGAGAGAGAATCACAAGCAGGGGACACGAGACTCGATCCCACAAATGGCAAGATCATGACCTGAGCCGAAATCAAGAGTTGGATGCTCCATCCACTGAACCACCCAGGCGCTCCATCCCAGTGAACCACCCACTCTTTTTTTTTTTTTTAAAGTTAAAATTGTATCACACTATGATTAATTTTTTTGAGATGTCATAAATAGCCTCGATAGCTCATTATTTCCCTGTAAAGGGGAAATTCTAGAAAGTGAAGTAATAGCTGGCACTTTTCCTTCTTTTTGTAGTCTCTGGCAAACATTGATGAAGTCGTGAACAAAATTAGACTGAAAATAAGGTAAGTGACACCATATGATTATTAATCGTTGATGAAAAGTATGCTGTTGATTTTAATCATATTCTAGATCACACTTATCAGTTAGAACCCTGTAATCTCAAGTTTGCTGTTTATGACAACTTAAAAAAAAAATAATTCCCTAACTGGATTTCCATATGAACCTTGTGGCAAAGAATCGGATTTTTTTTGGACAGTCTTCAAATTATTTCTAAAAAGGGAAGGAAGCTTTAACAGGCTATTCAAAATGGTTGGTTACAAAAGGGGGTAAAAGCATTTTTTTCTCTATTTTTATTGGTTTTATGTCCTTAGCAGATTGACCTTTTTTTGTACCTCCGAGTCTTAGATATGAGGATGGGTTTATATATGAATTCCTGGGCCATATACCAGCTATCAATATGGTCAGATGTGCTCATTGGCGTTTGTGGTGACCGAAGGTTAAATATTGGGATTAATCTGGGATGTGCTTGCCAGAGTTAGACGTCAGGAGTCCTTCCTGCCCAGTAGCCTGGTTCTGGTTTATCCATGTCTGGATTTCCAGCTGTGACACATGGCACATGACACGTGGTTGATGTCAGTACTTCAAATATCGTTTTTTGCATTTGTTTTGTTTTGTTTGACTTTTGATGAAGAGAAGCCTCACTTCGAATCCAGGAGATGATTTCCCTTTTCCCTTACGACCTTCGGGCCTTTCAGTGAAGACCTTTGCCATGAGTGTGTTGTTCAGTCGGGTGCCTTAGGATGCGCAAAGATGCCTCTTGCTTCGGCTCTGGTGGGCTTCGGCTCTAACAGTTCTAGCAGAGACTACTGAGTTGGCCAGGATTTGCACAGGAAAAATGGTCCAGAAATCACTGCACGACAACATACCTTTGAAACATTCTCTGAACGGAAAGTGGAATTAAACCGGTATGAATGTCTCTGGTTGAGGTGCCACCAAATGGCCCGTGTTGGAACTGGAGTCCACAGATCCACCTCCTACACGGATCGCAGTCAGGGCCCAGAGGATGAAGCACCGATCCCATATAGCACCGGTTCCTTAGCCCTTTAAGGTTTCTAAGGATGTGCCCGGGGATTCTGTGGGGGGCAGTTTGAATTCTCTGACTTGTTCCCATAGAGTTTCGGCAACATCGCCATTCCTGGTTTTCTCCATTGGAAAATACTAAGTTATGTTGGGGCTTTCGGACAGCTCTGAATAATAAGCAAGAACAGGCTTCTTAAAAGGCAGAGACTACTCCTCAGTCTATGCTGGGCTCGACTTCTTACACTGCCATTTGTGCCTTAGTTGGGGGTCTGAGGCCTCAGTCTTCCATCATTCAAATTTGTGTGGTTCTCTGGATAAGGAGGTACCCCCTGTGGGAGTTGATGGATAAGTTACCAGCTGTTTTTCTTTTGGTCACCCTAGAGTAGAGACTGTTTTAATGATTTGTATCCCTGAACTTTTTCACTAGGAGACTGGATGACAATATTCGAACTGTTGTAAGAGGTCAGACGAACGTGGGGCAGGATGGCAGGCAAGTAAGTAACTTATTCCTCCATACTAATCATATCCTCCTGATTTCTTCACCACCCAATGACCAAGTGACCAGAATGCTTGTGGAGAGCACTTTCTTTCTGATCTGCCCCCCGTGCGGCAGGAAGTGTGCATGACTTGTGTCACTCCTATCAGAGGTGGGCTGCCTAAACCAGCAGTGAGCTCTCAGTCGGCGTCCCTTGAACCAGGAGCATATGGGAGCACAGCTCACCCGGGCCAGTGCCATGTAGGCTTAAGTGAGAAAAGTGAAGTCTCCTTGTCTCTCTCCACAGTGTCAGACATGGATTCATGTCATAGTTGTATAGTTCTTTTTGGATCTAGCTAAGGAGGGCTGTTGGAAGGGAATGAAGGGGGAAAGGGGTGTTTGGGGAGGAGGAATGCTTCCACGACTGAGGGGCCAGCTGTTAGCTATTAACCATTTTCCTTTTCATTTGGATTCTCTTCTGTTTAGGCATCTTATTTCAGAAATTGCTGTCATAACAGAGATGCTGAGCATGCCTTTTCTGGTCTTATGTGCAGTTTCTGCTGTTCCCTTTTCGATACTAACTCCTTAGGTCAGTGTGTGCCTCTGTGATAGTTTCAGTTCTGTCATTTGTCCTCTTTGACATTTTTTAGTGCAGCTATTTTCTTTTCTTTTTTTTTGCAGCTATTTTCTTAAAATATACATTATGCTACCCGAATTTTGGGGGGATGGGAGGTGTCATCCTATGTATAAATGTCCTGCTCTCTCTTATTCCTGCTTCCTCTGCTAGTAGCTTATAGGTATTATGTGTCTCTTTTACGTTTTTAGTTTTATCCATGTCTCGATTTCCCCTACGTTTTATGACTAACTTTTCTTCCTAATAACCATCTTCCATTGGCCTATTTGTAAGTATCTCCTTCCTTCCTTGTTGTCATCAGCAGCAGTATTTGTATATAGACCTGTTAGTTTCCTAAGACTGATCCGATTTCCTAGTCCCTGCATCCTTCTTAGCCCTTATTGCTTTGTTTTCGTCTATTTAGGTTTCTCCTATGAAGCATGGCTTCTTTAGCAGGTGAGGCCTGTGTACATGGGGCCCTTAGAGGTAATAAAGAGTAACAATGTAGCCTGCAAATACTCCAGCCTCCTTCTGCCCTTTACCTTTCCTTCTATATGTCTGGTCTTGTCATCTATCTCTTCAGAAACCTCAGTGGCCTCTGTCTACCAGATCGAATCCAAGTTCCTCTGTTTGGCATTCAAGGCCTCAATCTGCCTTTCCAGTTTTGTGTCCTGCCGAGATCCATCCAAACAGAAGGCTTAGTGCTCCGCAAGCACCGTGCTTTCTGAACCCATGCATTTTACTTTGTTTTGTCTGAAATGCTCCCTCTCCTCTTTTTCTTCTAGTAACTTCATTTCAAAATCTACCTAAGACCCAGCTCAAACACTGCTTCCTCCATGAAATTTTCTGTTTAGCTCATCTGGATATACAGGAATTAGAATTTTAGACCTAGAAGGGACTTGGAACTCATCTGGTCCACACTTCTCATGAGCAGATTCATCTCGATACCCCTTAGCTACATGTATATCCTTTCTGCCCACAGACTCCCAGGCCTGTGCGTGTACTCTCCTTTGACTTACTAGCGAACAAATCTTGCCCCCTCGACTAGTTTATAAGCTCCTTGAGGCAAGAACTAAATCCTCCCCATCTTTGTATTTCTCTCAACACATAGTTCACGTGCAGTAACATTTTATTCAACGGTATTGAACATTTGGTCTATGTGAGACTATTTATTTATTGTAAATAAGCAAAAGCCCTTTACCATGAAACATTTTGATCAGCGTGTGTCCCTATAAAGTTGTTTACAGCTTGATTTGTGTGTGCCCAGTCTCGAATGACTACTCTTTGAAATAATGACACACCTTTCTAGTGTGATTTCAACCTGCACTTCGAACGGCTCACTGAAATACTTAACGAGAGGGTCAGGTGTTTAAAATTCCAAGAATGTGAACCTAACGTGAAGGACGCATCAAGACTTTTTGTTGGGTCATGCCATGTAGAGGTGTATCTTGCAGTTAGTTATTTATGATCTGACCTGCGGTCACAAACTAGCAGTAGTGACAGGCCGGGCCCCAAATTAGACCGCCCGCGGGAATGTCGGCCTTCGCCACCTTCACGTGTTCATAGGTGACAGGTTGATGCAGCAGGGCCAGGTCCGGTTTCAGAGAGCAAGACCACATTTTCAAGAATGTTTAGATAGCATTTCAATCTGTGGTGGAATTTTGTGTTCGTCTCCTTAGAATCCAGACAGAGAGGAAGCCCAGAAGAAATAATTGCTTTTCCTGTCATCCCCTCCATCTATCTTTTCCAACAGTTTGTAATGCAAGCTCGAACAGAGACTTTTTTTTTCCAGGGAGCTTTTGAGTCCCATTCTTGTCAGCCCCTGTGGGTAAAGCCTTGCTATCCAGCCCTGGCTGGCTGGTGGTTTGCGGAAGAGAGACTCCATTTGCCTGGCACAGACTTGGGAGAATTATGGATGTTCCAAAATACTGAGTTTTATAGGTCGAGAGGCCCAAGATTCCCCTCTTCCCTGGAACAGAGTAAAAGTTTGCTTTCAGAACTTGTTTCCTAAGCTTCTGAGGAACACTTGGGAGGAGAGCAATATTACGGGCAGAAGGAAATTTTCATTTTATAACTTTCACCTTGATTGTGTCCAACCAGAACCAGGGTGCTTTTTAGTCTGTAAATGAGAGGGAATGTTTATTTCCCATTCGTGGTGTCTTGAAAGACTTTTTTTAGCAAACATTTTTGAAAAGCAGTGTTTCTAACTATAAAATTATCTTTGGGGAGGCAGTGATTTAGAAATTGAAGACACAGGAAGGCACTTGCTGTAGTTTTTTGAGAATTCGGAACCAGCTGCCCGGTTAGCATTCTGCTACACATTTTGGAGAACTTTGGATCATTGACCATGTCCTACGTGGCAGACGAACTGGTTTAGTCTGTGACCTCTTCTAACCAGACTGTGGTGCTCATACAGAGTTAATACAGCACAGAATTCTCCCCATTTTCTTCTGCTGAAATCATCAGGCCAAAGCTTTAATTAAATGCCCACATGTTTCAAACTTTGTGGATAAGATGAGTCAATTCCACTAATACAGGATCTGATATGCTACGAGCCTTACGCAGCTTCCCAAGAATTAAAACAGACAGCTTGGCTGAGGGGGGAAAAGAGGTGAATAGAGGAGTGGGTTAGAAAAAGAGAAAGCTGGCATGTGACATTTCGAGAGTGGCCAAACGTTGACCAGTTCCCAGTAAGTTCACTGAGAAGCACCGAGAGGGTCAGCCACTGGGCTTCTGTCTTCTTGAGTGGAGGAGCTTGGCTACAGAGTTACTGTTGCATCAGAGCAACAGGGTTCAGGAGGGGAAGAAATTGTTATTGCCATCTCCAGCTCAGCTCACTAACATTCGGTTTTTAAGAAGCTTCAAGTATCTGCAGTACAACCTTCCTCCCAGTTCAGGAATCCTTTCTATGGCATCTCTGACATTTCAGTGTCCTTCTGCCTCTGCTTGGACACTCACGATGATGGACAACTCGCTCCTTTGTTGTTCCACAGGAGAGGCTCGGTCTTTTCCAGTATCCAACAGCTTTAATTGTAAGAAACTTCTTTCCTTCTTAGACTGAACTGAAATAGTAAAATAGACCTCATTGTGACTTCTCGTTGCTGAGTTCTGCCAGCTGGACCGGTGTGTAATCCCTTTTCCTTATTATAGTTTCTGAAATTTTAAATGGATATTATGTTCCTTTCTTACTGTTCCTTTTTCTAGGCTAACCATTCTTAGTTTCTTCAGCTTTACAATCTGATCCTTTATCATCCTGGTTACCTTACAGTTTGTGAGCATCATTTTTTTTTTTTTTTTTTTT